AGTTTGAAGGGTTTCCTCAACACAAAATACTTCAACCAGGTTCACTTAAGCACCTCGAAGTATGTATAGAAATTTAAAATTATAATTGTTTCAGGTGCTTTGCCACTTTATGTATGCTTTGTTACAAAGTTTAATAACTGAACCTATTTGCTGTGTCGAACATTAGCATTTATTTGATCCTAATCTAATTCAGTTTGTCACCACCGTCTTTTGGCTCCCGCTTTCAACAAATGCATTATCATTTATCTATTTTCTTGACACGATACTTTGGAAAACGGTTTAGACTTCTAGCCATTCTCTGTTTATTGTCAGCACATCTTTGAAAATAAATAAATAATGTTTCCTTCATATATGAATGACAAACTAATACTATGGAGTTGTCCGGTTGCATTCAGTACATTTATGTTCCATTGCTAATTAACGTTCATTTGTGATTCCTTCCTCACAATGGAAACATTCCTCGGCACCATGACAACAATCAGTGATGGAACAACCTTTTTATTTTATCTTATGTTGCCGTTCTGTATTGTCGCGGCCACAAAGATTGCGTGGACACTGAGCCGTAGTGTGTTTAAAAAAAATTACATTATCCTTTTATAACATGGTGGTGTTAGAAATATCTTAGCAGTGGGGCAGGAATTAGCTAGCCCTTTTTTGGATTTGTTCCTCATACTTACAAGTTTTGACTTTTGTAAGTGTGTGGGGTTGACTATTCATACTTGGATATACGTATATATAAACAATATATTAGTAAAAGTTATTATGCATATTATGGATCATCAAGGTGCCAAACAAGCATGGAAGCTGCATCGATCATTGTTGTTTCCATAAAAATTTCTACCTGCTACTTGTTTAACTTCTTTTAGTGCGCATAGCTGCATATCTATTTTTATGGATTATATTCGACCCCCACTTCATACCAAGAACAACATAAATTGTTGGCCATGTTTCCATCCTATCTGTAGTTTTGTCTGTCTGAGAATGAAAAAGTATCAGATAAAAGAAAGCGTGTGATAATGCTGGTAGATTGAAACTATGGTTCCTTTTTCAGCAGCAATTTATTGTCTCCGGTGAAGAAACCAGATGATAAATACTAAAGCAAGATATGATCCTATCATCAGTTAGACATTCAGCTACTATGCATTGATAGCAGGTTAGAAATACCATCTTTTACTTGGCTAGCAAAGGTGTGTGGATTTATGACATTAGGCTATTTGGCAGATGATTTGCAGATTGTGGTAGCACGCTTTGTATCTTCAATTGTATTGACGTCTTTAATTTTCCTTCATATCTTCAACTCTTCCATAAAAATTGGCAGATGTTGCAACACGTGTATTTACAACTTGAAGCAACTTCAAGCCTATTAGGTTCAAGAAGCAACCACCATATAAGTTGATTAAAAACACTTATTCAATTAAGATCAACATTTGGTTTAGTCATGTAAAATTAACTTTTATGCTTCATGATGATATATTGTCATGGTGTTCTCGCAGGGTGAGTCGCGTCACGGCAGATGTCACAGGGGTGGCTTGAGGTGAGGGCAAGACTGCAGTGGAGATCAGGGAACAGGATTGGGCAAGCAACACATGGTGGTTTACCCAGGTTCGGGGCCTTCGTTGGGAGGTAACACCCCTACTCCTGCATGTCTGAAATATATGTGAAGTATGTAGCAATACAGAGTTACTCTTGAAGTCGTTTTACAGAAGGTAGTGGGGAGCTATGAGCTTCATGCCTCATGCATATGAGTGTGAGTGTGAGAGGGCGTGGGTTGCCTTTTGTGGCCGAATGGGCATGGATAGATGTATGCGTGAGTGTGTGGCTAAGGAATCGTGGGTGAGCATTTATGTGTGTGTGAGAGTGCTCGTCCCCTTGGCCAAGTAAGTGCCTTCTTGGGCAAGGGAATGACTTCCTCTCCAAGGCAGTGTTCCTTGGGTCACTTTATGCACTAGTGCGCAAGGATAAGTAACACTATACATGATGTTGCGTATGACGAGTGAACAGTGTATGCTTTATCAGCAATAGTGGCCATGGTATGGCCGCGGTATGCCGTCTTGTTGGTGTCGGGTCGATGCATCGGTTGACTCTGCGCAGCAGACCAGTTGGAGCAGCCGGATGGCGAGCCGGCCGGAGCAGCCGGGCAGCCGGACCAAGGGACGCTGGATGCCCCGATGTTCTGAAGCGTCGTATCGCCGTCTTGGGGCTACTCGGGATCATCCCGCGATATATATATTGCGAAAATATGTCTCGGTTTATTGGACAAATCGATGGACACTGAAACACAAACATTATGGTCTATTATAATTAACATCTTACACTATAAACGCACATAAAAATATGATCAATCATAAGTAACAACTTACACTACAAATACACTCAATATAATATAATAAAATATTACTACTTGTCTACTTATATTTTAACATAATTTCAAACACTATCATGCACGAATCAAGCTGGATGGGCGTAGCAACATGCACTATCAATGTTAGAGTCCTCCTAATAACCACACAATAGATTTTCAATTTCCCATTCCCCAACTCTAATTACCCAACCAAAACATTATGAGTTCTTGATCAAGGGATTATGTGGTGTTATTGTTAGGAAACATACCCCACCTAGAGGTCTCCCCTGTTTCTCCTGACCGAATAATGATGGTCATGGTTCCCTAATGGCCGTTGACCTTGGCAAGCACATATACTCCCTCCTTTTTGGTTTATAGGGCTTATCTCAAAATTTTAGTTTTTCCATTTTATAAGGCTCAATTTTATTGTTTCCCATCACATGTTCAGATTTCAAGGTGCATTAAATCATTGCATGCAAGCATTAAGAAAAAATTAACTAATGCATGTAATTTATGCATGCATGCATTGCAATTAATGCATTGGTAAACATACTTTTTTGAGAAAAACTGAGCATTAGTTGGGTGTTTTTGCAAACTACAAAAAGTATTTCACCACTCACCATCTATCTTGGTTGGTGAGATTTTTGAATTGAGCCTTATAAACCGGAAAGGAGGGAGTATAGTCGTTGACCTTGGCAAGCACATATGTCGCGGTGGATGGTTATGTTCATTAACTATTATGTTTGGCACTTTTGTGTATATTGATTAGAGGCATATGTTTTTCTTAAAGAACAATCACAACCATTTTTTTTCATAATCACATCAACACATTTGCGAACTCTATAATTTGCAAGTTACATCCACAATGGATTGAATAAAATGCGCCTACAACAATTATACTTGTATCTTATATACACATTCGTCAAGCGCATTCAGAAATTAAACTTATGGTAAGTGAATACTTCCGAGTGTGACAATATGAACACCGAGCTCAACATTTTCAGCCTATGTTGACCATTTGGCCACACTAGTTGGACACGTGCATGCAAAGTGGGGCCGCACGTGTTTTTTCCTACCTTGCCACAACATTGGGGCACGATATGCTCTCCCACTCCTCATGTATCCGCCCGACCGCCTACGCAGGTGCCGGCTCCATCGCCTCCACAACTATTCACACTCCACTTGATGGTTCATAGGACAATATGGCCATGTAAATGGTAATCCTCGTTCGTAGATATATGCCCTTTTTTGAGTTGACGCTTGGACATTTTGCTTTGATTATTTCTTTTCGTTACAACATATTAGTATGAAGCATAAAACCATAGAGTTAAAAAAGGCATAAAACTATGATATTATCAAAATGCCTATCATTAGTCATATACTTTTCACATGATCCCTTTGAGGCATCCTTTTTGTTATAATATAACTAACACTATGTTGTTACTAAACATCCAAGTTGCAAGAAACACTTTTTTTGCGGGGGTAAAGGGAGTTTTATTGCAAGATTATAGAGTTATAGTCTTGAGGCCACATATCCTCAATACATGGCGGTACTGAGCCCAACCACACAACAGTAGTTCGCTCCGTGCGGCTATAATTGGCCAGTCGATCGGAAACTCTATTTTAAGAACGACTAATCTTCAGAGGAAAAAACTCCCTGGTACCTAACAAGTCCTTGATTTCCAACACTAGGTGGCCATAAGCTGACTGCACCACCAGCGGGAGGACAGAATGTTGTATAGTTAGTGCCATGCCTTGCATTAACGCATGCAGTTCCGCCTCCGGTAAATCATTGCAGTGGAAGATAAATCGATAGGCTGCGAAAAGGATTGCTCCTTCACTGTCCCTTAGAACCATACAAGCAGCTGCAGAACCGCCGGCCTTCTGGAAGGAACCATCAACAGAAAGGGCCACCGTCCCAGCTGCCGGCGCGGGCCATGGAAGTGTGGGAGATATGCCAGCTCTCGCCGCTGGGGTGACATCCAGGGTAGACATCTTGCCTTTTAAGATTTCATCAGTTTTGAAAGAAATTGTAATTACAAACTAGTCTTGGGGTGATTCTTCGCCTCCTCCATGTTGCACACACGATGTCGTGTACAAATTTCTTCCCACCGCCGGAACGAGAGAGCAATTATGCACGCAGTCGGGGAGGCCATCTAACTCTACTAGGAAGCGCCAGTGAGGTCAATCCAATCCGGAAGGACCCATTGCCCCGTGGCTTTGCCGCGAAACTTAGCCGGCCAGTCAAATGACACGAGTGCCAATTTTGGTTGCGTATAAGTCCTAATCGATCAAATGCCACGAGTGCGCAATAGATACAAAAGTCGACAACAAACGGGGATTCCTAGTTTCGAACACAGTCGACACCGTGGGCATACCAAAAATTCAGTTCCCCTGCAAAAAAAAATCAGTTGTGATGATGTCAGTTCATCCAAATGACCCAAATTCAGCAATAGTTTCCGGGAGCATACTAGGAGTTCGGATCATCTTCCCATTTCAGTTGTGTAAATTTTTTTGCTGAACTTTTCGAAAATTTGACGAAATTTCCGCTGAAAAAGAGAACCTGGTCGCGGATTCGCGATTACCCACACTGGTGGAGGGCGACGGGCACGTCGCTCGGGAGATCCCAACAGTTCCCACTCCTCGCACCGACGCAGCCATGGCCGAGCTGCGGCACGGCACGGTGGCGGCGGCGGCGGCCCGCGCCTCCGGCTCGCCCGCGAAGCGCGACGCGGAGGCCGCCTCCGCCTCCGCCTCCTCCCCCTTCCTCTCCTCCCCACGCGGCGGCGGCGACGGCGGCAAGGACGGCGCGCTGCGCCCGCCCCCTCCACTCCACCAGAGGTACCCGCTCCCCGCCGCCGTCCGCGCCCTCCTCACGCTAGAGGACCCCCGGTCGCCCTCCGCCCCGCCCTCCTACCGGATCTTGCTCGCCGTCCTCGCCTGCGTCGCCCTCGGCGCGCTCGTCTCCGCCACCTCCGTCTGGTCGCGCCTCGTGAGTCCTCGATCCCGTCGATCTTCGCTGCGTCTCATCGGGATCCCTGATGCTTGCTTACATTCGTGTTGTTGTTGGACCCTAGAACGCGCCCTACCTGTGCCGCAAGGATGGGATTCGGCTCCAGTGCCCCGGGGTAAAGTGATGTTGATCTCAGCTTGCATCTGGGTGGATATTTGTGCGTGCAATCTGTTTTAACGTTTGTTTGTTTGGCTTGGCTTGGTGTTGTTACCGTTCAGGTGAGCAACTCTCCGTGGGAGAATCCGCATGCCGCTGCCACGTCTTGGAAGCCATGTGCCGAGCGACGCAGCGACGAGATCTCAGGCAAGTGCTGAAATTAATCGCTCTAGTAGAAATGCGATCAAAGATGTTCCATAACTGTACGGCTGTATATTCTCCATTTAATTTTTGTTGGGTGTTTTTTCCATTTATGTTGATACTACTGCAATGCAAAGTCGATATGGTGCCTGGATAGTTGATAAAATTCGATCAGGACCATAAGTAACTTGAACAGTTGGCCTGCTAGAGGCTAGACATACTAGTATATTTGGTAAGGAGATATACCATGCGTAAGTTGGCTGGCGGGAGAGATAAAAGTGAATGACTGACTTTGAGATGAGGATAAAATTATGATAGCATTTGTGAGAGCACAAGTGGAATTTTTTTTCCAACCGGGCTCACACCCCTTTCCATTAATTTTGCAATCAGCGGAAATACATCAGTCTGTTCACAGGTCTGTTTAGTACCGTACCACAAAAGCTAAAGACTACCATAATGGAAATGATCGCAACAGCTAAAAGGGGACTGAAAAGGGTGGAGCGAGCTGGTGCATCATCAGGAAACCCACCGCAAGAAGATCCTATAACGGATCATCTGCCATGGGGCGAAAACCTGATGACACAAAACAAGCCACTGCCCAACTATGAAGAACAGGTTCCCAGGATAGAACTGCAAGTACACCTCGACATCTAGGCAAAAGGAACTACCACGAAACAATAAACCAGCGGGCATCAGACCCCTGTGGCCAGCCGAAACGACGAAAGTGCCCAACCGAAGATCCCAGCTAACCAATCTGGATCCCATCCCTCTCTCCCAAGAGAGGTCTGCTACGAGGAAAGGTTCTGTCCGCCAGTGCAGCTGCTGCCTGGGCCAACCTCTTCACTCCAGCTTGGAACTTTGCTTTGTCCTCGTCTTTGAGCAGCCCTGCCCAATACAACATGAACGAGCAAGCAGTGAAAACAGCCTCCAGGGGAGTGCGAGCAACATATTTATCAAAAGTAACTTTATTGCGGAGGCACCAGATCCCCCAACATATGGCAGCTACGATCATCACATAGTATTGTTCTCCCCCTGGGAAGAATTTATATAGCCAGATAAAACTTTGCCATAGGGATCGAGGGCAACAGGACGCGCCAACTGTTAAACCCAGAACCCCCCAAACGGTACGAGCAAGTGGGCAAGTAAAGACAAAGTGATTAGCCGTCTCTACATTGGTACAAAAAGAACAAGCAGGGTTCCCAGGCCACTTTCTATTGCGCATATTATCCCGTGTAAGCACAGCATTCTGGAAAAGTTGCCATAAGAAGATTTTAATCTTCAATGGAATGGCTGCTTTCCACACCCATTTATAATTGGGACCAGATAAGTTTCTTTCCAACCACTCATACATAGATTTAGTCGTATACTTCCCCTTACTACTAAATGCCCAGGAAATTGTATCTGAAGAACTGTTCAATGATAATTTTCTAGCTTCCGCAACCACCCAAGCCCACTGCTCACCCAACACACCGTTCAATCTCCGTCTGAATCCAAGGGTATAATTATTCCTAACCCAGGATATAACAGTACTCTCTTGTTCTTGGCAGATGCTAAAAAGATCAGGAAATCGATCTTTCAGGACAGTGTTCTCTATCCAAGGGTCGTGCCATACCCTGCTCAGATCTTCACTATTGATATTGACCTTTCTACCAGCCATATACGAGTCCTTGACTTTCATGATAGCCTTCCAGCAAGGAGAATCAGAAAAACGACTGCGTATATTAGCCACAGTCTTGTTTCTGAAGTATCTAGCTCTCACAATACGCTGCCATTGCCCGTCGCTAGTTTCGAGCTTCCACCACCACTTAACTAGTAGGGCAATATTCTGTTTATGTAAATCCTTGATTCCCAGCCCCCCAATATTCTTAGATCGGCAAATTCTAGCCCACTTAACCATATGATATCCATGTTTCTTGTTCTTCCTTCTCCAGAAGAATCGACGACGGTGTTTCTCTTTCTTTTCAATAAAGGTTTTATTGAAGAGGAACATCAACATAAGGAACGATGGAATCCCATCAAGGCTGGATCCCAATAAGGTTAGTCTGGCCCCAGAGGAAGCCGCATAGGCAGCCCAAGCATCAAGTTTTTTGATCAGTTTACCATCAAGGAAGTCTAGATCCGCATTCTTGAGGACGGAATATGTTACTGGTACACCTAGGTATTTCATAGGCAAGGTGCCCACTTGGCAGCCAAACATATTCGCATATGCTAGATCGATATTGTTGTCTCCTCCAATACTAAATATCTCACTTTTTTCAAAATTAATTTTCAGCCCTGACATGAGTTCAAAGAGATAAAGCAAGAGCTTGATATTGACAGCTTTCTCAATATCATGTTCAAAACATAGCACAGTGTCATCTGCGTACTGCAGGATGCCCACCCCCTCCTCAATAAGATTGACAGCCAACCCTTTAATAAGACCATTTTTTTGAGCCGCAAGCACCATCTTAGTGAGGCAATCAGCTGCTAAATTAAAGAGGAAAGGGGAGTGAGGATCACCCTGTCTCACCCCCTTAGCACTTTGAATATAGGGCCCCACCTCATCATTGATTTTGACACTAACTGTGCCATTCTTAAGGATTTGAGATACCCACCCACACCATTTAGAATCAAACCCCCGTTTCCTATGACAGTCGAGTAAAAATTCCCAATTGACTTTGTCATAGGCTTTCTCGAAGTCAAGTTTGAGAATTACACCTACTTGTTTTTTGACATGAGTATAGTGTAAAATCTCATGTAAAGATAGAATGCCATCCACAATATGTCTCCCTTTAATAAAGGCATTTTGTTGAATACTGAACAGCTTATTTGCATATTTACTAGCCCTAATATCCATGGCTTTTGTGAGCAGTTTGTATGGGCAACGCAACAAACAGATGGGTCTATATTGTTGGATCCTCTTAGCATCAGAAGATTTAGGCAACAAGGTTATAATGCCATAATTCAGGCGTTGCACATCCAACTTGCCCTCATAGAACCAATCAAACATATGCCATAAATCCTGGGCAACCACTTCCCAGCAATGTTGATAAAACTCAACAGGAATGTCATCCGGGCCAGGTGCCCGATTAGTTTTCATGCTAAACAGAGCCTTCTTGATCTCCTCAAGGGAAAAAGGTCGGGTCAAATCATCATTGTCCTTAGGAGTAATTTTTTCCTCCTGAGACCATAGAGTTGCATCAATTTGGCAAATATTTCCAGGGGCCGGTCCAAAAAGGTTCTTATAGTATTCGGTGGCATGGGCTAATAAGTTTTTGGTTCCATCTATAACCACAGATCTGCATTCAAGGGAGATCATGGAGTTTTTCCTACGACACCCATTAGCAACCTTATGAAAAAAATCAGTGTTATTGTCTCCTTTCAATAACCACCTCTCATTAGATAGTTGATGCCAATGGAGTTCTTCTTCCACATACATATCATTGAGCTCTACTAGGATATTTAGTTTCCTAGTGTAAGCCTCACCACATAGCCCAACTTCCTCTTCGAGCTTTTCCAGCTCCTGAAGTTCAAGTTTAATAAGCTTCTTTCTAATCTTGTTGTGACCAAACAAATTAGATCCCCACCCTTTAAAGAATTTCTTGAACCTCTTCAGTTTAATGTTCAAGGAATCGATGGGGTTGTTTGTGTACACCGGCCTAGACCAAATCTCAGCCACCAGAGGAAGAAATTCTGGATTTTGAAGCCAAGCATTATCAAATTGAAAGCATCTATTTCCAGGTGCTCTAGAGGAGGCTCTCCCACTATCCAATAACAAAGGATTATGATCAGATAATTCTTTGACCAACTTAGCAACAGAAGCAAGAGGGTATAAGTCTTCCCAGTCCGGAGACATAAGCACTCTATCCAATTTTTCTAAGGTTGGGTTTTCCTGTTTATTAGACCAGGTATAGCAACCACCTGTCATGTAAATCTCCCTCAACCCAAGCAGATGTATGACAGAATTAAACACATCAGAAAAATGGGATATAGCACAAGTGGAAATGGAACCCAGAAACAAAATACCCTGTCTATGTTTCTTTCTTTAACAGGTTGTTCAAATCTTGTTACCCCTTTTTTGCACCTGTAACATACGAGCTTTCTTCATGAAACCATAATCCATGTTGCTTCCTCTTGGGGATAAGGAGTTCTCTACATAGCTTGACTAAGATTGAAGTGAAACTGTTTGGGTACCCTATCCTCTGTTTCTGTTCATCATGATAGCTTAAGAAAAATACAAAAACCATTCACCTGAAACCATGGTTGCATCCTGATGAGTATCAATTTTGTCTTCTCTCTACTATTCTGCAGATCTTGTGTCAGAGAACGAAACGTCTGGGTATATTTTTATTCATGCTGAGGGTGGATTAAACCAGCAACGCATAGCTGTACGTACGTGCCCTATTCACATTTATCAGTTTATTGAACCTTTTTTGGCCTTAATAACACATGTTTATTATTACTATTATGTTATTTCCATGCTTCGGTTTCAATTCAAAGGACATAGATTTAATGATTTGTTATGCAACATTTGCTTATGTAGTAAATGTTACCTTGCCCAAGTTGTATCGAATACTGTCAGTTAATTGCACTACTTGATATATTTGCAGATATGCAATGCTGTTGCAATCGCTAAGATAATGAACGCCACACTTATTTTGCCTGTGCTGAAGCAGGATCAAATATGGAAAGATCAAACGTAAGTGATAATTCTGATTTCCTTTTGAATGGACTCCTGCTTGCTTATGCCCCTTTCTAACTTGTATCCATTATCATGTTGGCTCCTGGCAAAAGTGTTTAATATTTGGCAACCTTGTATGTTCAGGAAATTTGAAGATATCTTCGATGTAGATCATTTTATAAATTATTTGAAGGATGATGTGCGCATTGTTCGAGATATTCCTGACTGGTTCACAGAAAAAGATGAGCCGTTCACCAGTATAAGGTTAGTTTCTTCATTTCATCTTTTGGTCTGTCTTAGCTGCCTTCAGTTTGAAAGCTTGATGCTAAAGTTTAAACACATGAATGGTGTTCATCTTTAAAGCATTGTTTTCTTTTGTTAAAATCGACACTAATATTGTTAGAGGGAACAATTACTCTTGGAGTGTATTAATATGAACAAGCCAACTAGGTGACTTCTGCTGCTTGTTTGTGCTCTGCAGTTTCTTTTACAAACTTACGTATGCATTTCTCATGTTTGTTATATTGCTATGCAAGAAATTGCTAATTCAACAACAGTCAACAAGTATAAGTCTGCTTGTCCAATTCAGATTATTATATTGGATGCCGTGAGTTCTGAGGGTGCGAGGGGATCACAGTGTTTTTTTGCTTCTGCTCATTCCACTTTGTGACATTTTTATCAATCATTAGATAATTTAGCCATGCTGGTTGATACTGCAATCCCAGTTCATTATAGCGGTTTGAACTACAGTAGCTGCTGTCATATGTGTTATTCATAATTAGTTGGCACTGGTACATTGTGTGGCATGATAGTTTGCTGGCTGACATAGCTATAGTTCCTTTTATTTGCAACCTGGGTTATCAACATTCAATACATCTGGTCTGTCTGCTGGATAAGATTTTTCGTGGTGATTAAATTCTGTCAATTTCTGTGACTATTGCCTGTGAAATTTTGTTAAATGTCAGTACTGCCAGCTGCAAAATGGTGCCTATTTCTACATTTACTTCATGGTTAGATAAATGTGCTTATGTATGTTTCTTTGTTTTTGCTTGCTGATGTTGTTTTTATTTCGTGCCAACATATTGTCATACTTAATTGTAACGTCTGTAATTATTTATGTTGATTTTAACAGACGTACTGTAAAAAATATCCCAAAATATGCACCAGCGCAGTTTTATGTTGATAATGTACTTCCAAGGATCAAAGAGAAAAAGATAATGTCTATCAAGCCATTCGTTGATAGATTGGGGTAAGTCTTCACATCATTTTATGAAGATATTTTCATGGCTTTATCTGATCATATATCTTCAGATTTGTTACATAGTACTCCCTCCGTTCCTAAATATTTGTCTTTCTAGAGTTTTCAACAAATGACCATATACGAAGTAAAATGAGTGAATCTACACTCTAAAATGTGTCTATATACATCCGTATGTGGTAATCCATTTGAAATCCCCAAAGACAAATATTTAGGAACGGAGGGAGTAATTGCTTAGCCCTGTGACTAAATCTTCACATTAGAGTCTTTGTGGTCAAGTCTATTGCTCCCTATTACCCCTCTCCCCCTTGGCTAGAACTTGTGGCATACATTAATGTGGTGCAAAAACTTGGCTCGGACGTGCAAATACGGTGCAAATCTCGTTTGTATACGGCTGCGATGCTGACAAGGCATGGCAGCGTGGCATAGGGCCCGCCGTCAGTGACTGCAAAAAAAAAACCTTGGTTTACTATTATTATTTTCTCATGAAAAGGCTCCTGTGTGATATGTGGCATCTGGTGGGTCCCACTTGTCCGTAAAACATCACTAATTTTATTAGAATGAAAAATAATCCGCCAAGGGATTCGTACCAGTGATTTCAGCCTAAACGATGTGCGCAGCTAACCATCCGCAAAGAGCTCACATCACGTCATTGAAGCATACGGAGGTCTTATATCTTTGAATTAAGTAATAACATAACTAAAGAATTTTAATCGTAAGAAGTGTTACGCTCATGGGGTTTCAAGCTAGCTACCCAGGTAAAACAATTAGGAGGGCGTGCCACTCCAACTATGTACTCTCATGTGTAAATATAATTGTTACAGTTTATGTCTAACAGAACGTTCTCCTGGGCTACAATTTATGTTTTTTTTTCACTTTTCGAAAGTTGTAAAGAAATGTAAATTGTAATTATAAATAATGTACATATAAATAGAATATATTAGACTAAAAAGTGCTCATATATTAATTTTAAGAAATCTATCAAATTAAATTATGAATTAATTGTATGATTAAAAAGTTTTTCATATTAAATAAAATATCAAAGTAATTTTAGAAAATATGTGTATTTAAAAAATTATCATGTCAGTTCCAAAAATTACAAGTTTTTTTATAAAATATTCATGTTGTATATAAAATTGTGCAAGCTTTAATGTTTTAATGTTGGTTTAATAAAATTTGTGTGTTTTCTAAAAATTAGATATGTATTATGAAATTAATATAAATATATGTGCAAAAAGTTAGCTTAGTGTGCCTCGGACTACAGGTTCTCAAATGAAAATGTATTTACAATTATGCGTACACTTATAGTTTACATTTTGTGGGGCTAAAAAGAAGGAAATAAAAAAACTAACATGTTTAAACTGTTGTATAAAGCTTAACAATCCTGTTAAGGCACGAAATGCCGTTTGTTCTATAGTATTTGCTAGGTCCTCCTCGTGGTAACTGTCAGGTTGCTGGCATGAAATCCCACGGCTGTATTTTTTTTTTTTTTTGAATTAGAATTCTTAGTTTTGTTATTTAACAAAGATATAAAGGCTGAGTAACAACTGTTATCTGCTGTGTTGGCTAGCCGTGCTCTCGGCTGACTATACCTCAACGGGTCGAATCCTTGCCCGACTCCTATTTTTCTTTCTATATAATACTAATAAAATTTGTGATGTTTGGCTGATAGGTGGTGGGACCACCCAATGCCACACGCAGATACTGTGTGTACACCTGATCAGGGGCCTTTACGTGAGAAAAAAATGAGAAATAAAAATTTAAGGTTTTTATTGCAAAAGAGAACACCACACGCCCAATCTTCACCATATGGTCACTGACAGCGGGCCCTATGCCACGCTGTCATGCCTCGTCAGCTTCGCTGACGTATATAAACGAGATTTGCACCATATTTGCACGTTCAAGCCAAGTTTTCGCACTACTTTAATGTATGCCGCAAGTTCTAGCACTAAAGTGACCGTTTACGCCAAGTTCTAGCACTACCGGTGTAATTGACTCTTTATTAATTCCTTGCTACTTTGTACACGACTTGTGACCATAGTGTAATGTAAACTCATCATTTCAGGTATGATAATGTTCCAATGAAGATAAACCGGCTCAGATGTAGAGTTAATTATCACGCCTTAAAGTTTCTACCTGGCATTGAAGAGATGGCTGACAAACTAGCAACAAGGATGCGGAATCGAACTGGGAATGTAAATCCATACATGTAAGTGTAGCTCATGATCTTCAGAGTAACCTGCCCTGGAGTTGGCAATTTTTTACATATCTCACGCTGTTATTCCTGCTTTTGAAGGGCTCTTCATCTTAGATTCGAGAAAGGAATGGTGGGTTTATCCTTTTGTGATTTTGCTGGAACCAGAGAGGAGAAAGCAATGATGGCTGAATATAGACAGAAACAATGGCCAAGACGCTTCAAGGTGATATACTAATGTGAATTGTCTAGACAAATGATTTTAGCCTGAAGAGAACAAGGTCAGAGTAGAGTAGTTACATATATTTCTCTTGTATATATGCAGAATGGATCTCACCTTTGGTCTTTAGCACTGGAAAAGAGAAAAGAAGGCCGCTGCCCGCTTGAGCCTGGGGAAATAGGTTTCATTCTGCGTGCAATGGGATATACAAAGGAGACTCAGATATATGTTGCATCAGGACAAGTGTATGGTGGAAACAATAGAATGGCGCCACTGAGGAATATGTTCCCCAATTTGGTAGGTGTTCCACTGCAAATCCTGTTTGTTGCCTTCAAACTTCAAAGTGCCTTTATATGGACATACACGAAACTACAGATTCAGAAAGGAAACTGAGACAGTTACCTATGGATGGGCAAGCAACCATTAGCAGGTGGATTTGTTGTAGAGACAACTGACCCATTATCTTTGTTCCTTGCAGGTTACCAAAGAAGATCTCGCAAGCAAGGAGGAGATAGAGCATTTCAAGAAGCATGTAACCAGCCTTGCTGCATTGGACTTCCTGGTATGCCTGAAGTCGGATGTGTTCGTCATGACCCATGGCGGCAATTTTGCGAAGCTGATCATTGGCTTCCGGCGCTATATGGGGCGACATAGGCTCAAGTCTATCAAGCCGGACAAGGGGCTCATGTCGAAGTTCTTCGGCGACCCCTACATGCCATGGGCGACTTTCGTGGAGGATGTGATGATCACTCACCAGACACGAACAGGCCTCCCCGAGGCCACCTTCCCGCACTATGACCTCTGGGAGAACCCTCTCTCCCATTGCATGTGTAGAGCATAAACTATATAGACTACAAGTGATTGTGCATAGCTTAATTAATTCCTTTGTTCATACAGATCCATCCTATAACTGTAAGTTCATATAACTATTTTTTTTCACGTCCAGTTTTGTTTGTGTAGAGTTTTTCATCTAGAAACACTACATGTATATGAAAGTTCAGCTGATGCATATGAATTTCCCAAAAATAGTTTGTGCATAATAATTACATGATTGAACAAACAATTTTCACTTCAACGGTGTAGTTACAGAGATTTAGGGCCTGTTCGGGGTCCCTCCCGCTCCGTGACTCCGCTCCCTGAGCAGCCCAAGCCGCAGTTCAAATTTATGGAGCAGCGAAACGGATACTCCGCGGATCCTTGGATTTGGCGGAGCTGGTGGTTTCCCGAACAGCTCCTTAATCAAATCAAATACAGTTGACATGATTCATTCATTGATGAACTGACCATGAAACCCAAGAATGCTATCCTTCAGCAGAACAAATAATTTCTGAAGAACAGCTAGTTGGACATTTGTACTACAACTTGCCGAACGTCGAGCCTCTTTGCTTTAGAGTTTATTTAGGGTCGAGCCTCTTTGCTTTAGAGTTTATTTAGGCTCGACGTACAGCGTGCGCCTGCACATAGGGCACGTCTTGCTCTCCACGAGGACGCTCTCCAAGCACGCGCCATGGAAGACGTGGGGCTTGCCGCACCCGGGCCACGCGGCGAGGTCGTCGCCCTCGAGCAGCTGCAAGCAGATGGGGCAATCCTCCCCGGCGGCGACAACCCTCCTTCGCTTTACTGGCCGTTCACCGGCGTCCATATCATCGTCGGCTTCGTCTTTATCATGGTCGCGCCGCATCGGCTCTGGCAGGTGCAATTCCATGCCGGTGAAGCGCACGGGCCACGGTTCCTCCACCATGTCCTCCAGCGCGGGGCGCATCCACTCCATGCGCTCGGGCGCGTAGTACGACCTCCGGAGCATGCCGTCGACGTCATCGACGAACAACGACCTCTGGAGGATGCCGACGTCGACGAACACCTCGACGCGGGACATATGGTGCTCCACGTGGCCGATGCGGGGCGTCCAGGCAGGAGGGCCTTTAGTCCCGGCTGGTAACACC